CAAAAACTAAAACTGTCTACGTGAGTTGTTTCTCTAAGTTCTATAGATACCTAAGATGAGGGAAACCACATAAAAACAGGGATAACTTGCTTAATTAAATATGTACAACAATTGGGAAAAAATAATATTGGCTCAAGGTTGTTAATGGTTACCACTATCTATTTTTTTAACATTTTTAAATTTTCAATGGACCTCTATTTTATTTATATGAGGTGTTGAGAATCAAACCCAGTGCCTCACACATGCTAGACAAGTGCTCTACCAGTGAGCCACCATCCCAGCCCCACCACTACCTATTTTAAGTGGAATAAAATTATTCTTTTTAATGATAATCATTGAGCCCATGATGATCCCTGTCTGTTTTTTCCCTTCCTTCCTTCCTTCCTTCTCTTCTTTTTTTTTTCTTTTCCCTCCCCTCCCCTCCCCTCCCTTCCCCTCCCCTCCCATTCCCTCTTCTTTTCTTTCTTTGGTAACAGGGATTGAACTCAGGGCACTGGACCACTGAGCCACATCCCCAACTCTATTTTGTATTTTATTTAGAGACAGGGTCTCATTGAGTTGCTTAGCACCTTGCCATTACTGAGGTTGGCTTTGAACTTGCTATCTTCCTGCTCCCAAACCACTGGGATTACAGGCATGTGCCACTGTGCCTGACTTTTTTTTTTTTCTTTTGGTCTTGGGGATTGAATTTAGGGGCACTAACCTACTTCACCAGCCATTTTTGTTTTTTATTTTGAAATGGGATCTTACTAAGTTGCTTAGAGCCTCACTAAATTACTGAGGCTGCCTCAAACCTGTGATCCTCCTGCCTCAGCCTTCCAAGTAACTGGGATTATAGGCATGCATGACCATGCCTGTTTTTCTTGACAGCATTCAAGCACTTTATCATCCCCCTCTTTTTTTTTTACATATACACACAGATTTGGGTTTTTTGTTTTGTTTTGTTGGTAGCAAGGATTGAATCCAGAGGCGTTTCACCATTTACCTACATCCCCAGCCCTTTCTTTCTTTTCTTTTCCTTTATTTATCTTGCTAAATTGCTGAGTCTAGCTTTGAACTTGTGATCCTCCTGCCTTAGCCTCCCGATCTGCTGCTGGGATTACAGGTATGCAGCCACAGTGCCTAGCATAAACACAGTTTTAAAAGTTGAAAAGTTGAATAATTCTACAAGTTTTGATACAAACAAATGAAAAAAAAATCCAAGTTGTTCCCCACTTCTCCCCGAAGCTGATCACCCTACCCACATCCCACTTCCACTTCCCATTTCCCAGATCAGTGCTTTAAACTGTTTTGTCTCATTCTTTTGATGCTCACCTCCATGTCTCTAAACAATATTCTTTTTTTTTTTTTGTAGGCGGGTACCAAGATTGAACGCAGGAGCACTCGAACACTGAGCCACATCCCCAGCCCTATTTTGTATTTTATTTACAGATAGGGTCTCACTGAATTGTTTACCGCTTTGCTTTTTGCTGAGGCTGGCTTTGAACTTTTGATCCTTCTGTTTCAGCCTCCCGATCCGCTGGGATCATAGGTGTGCGCTAGAGCTCCTGGCTCTAAATAATATTCTTATTGTACCACTTTTTAAATTTTCCCTTTTAGGTATTACTATGGATTTCACATTATGGGAGATGAGGAATAACATGGATTCTTTCTGTTGGTGGATTCTTAATTTGGTCTGGGGATCTAACTGTAAAATAGCAATTAAATCTCACATGGATAGTCAAAAAGTTTGTTCATGTGCCAGCAATAAAATCCACATCATGATTGCCATCTGGTCAAAAGTAATTGTAAGATGCCAAAATAGAATGGGCATCATGCCTGTACACACACACACATACACACACACACTCTGCCCTTGGCACATGAATTAGCTTTTCATCACTGTGATGAAATACCTGAGAAAATCAACGTGGAGTAAAAATTTATTTTGGTTGTAGTTTCAGAAGTTTTAGTCCATGATCAGCTTGCTCCATTCCTTTTAAGCTCGAGTGGAAGCAGAAACATCACAGTAGAAAGGTGTGGTAGAGGAAAACTTTCACCCCATGGTATTCAGAAGCATGATGCCTGGGGTTAGGGTGGTGGGTGGGGAGAAAATGGCCAGGAACAAGATATAATTCCCAAGGGCATACCCACATCGACCCACTCCCTTCAACTAGGTTCCACTCCCCACAGTCCACTCTGCTATGTGCATCAATGGGTTAATCCATTGTTGAGGTCAGAGCCCTCCAGAGATCTGATCTCTTTCTAAAAGCTCCACCTCTAAGCATTGCTGCCTTTGGGAGGAAGCCTTCAACACAGGAGCCTTTGGAGGACTTTCCAGATCCAAACCATAGCAGTACATGAACTATGGTGTATAAAAGAAAAGCAGCTTAAACAAAGTGATTTTTAAAGGCTGAAAAATAAAAGAGTGGACAAAATAAACTAGAAGTAAGTAAAAAGAAAGCAGGGTTTTCAAACTTAGCATCAGGCAAAAGGAATTCCTATCAAATTAACAGGAAATGAGACCAAGTAGGGCTACTAATAATGTTAAATGGTATGCTTCATAATAGCAATACGATAGGTATGGATATGCATACCTGTGATATACACAGTAGCAATAGTCAAAGAATGGAAACAACAGGAGATAGGCGTTGATTTATATTAAGAGATTTTACTTTGCATCTCTGGATCCAAGACAGATCAAGTAAACAAAACAAAAAGAACAGAAAAGGATATAAGGATATGGACAGCCAAGGAACACAATAAGATAGGGCTGGTTGATAGGTCACATTTTGTTGAAAGTAAGATACTATCAATTGTCAAATAATACGATTTTAAATGTGGCACTGAGAAAATATCAGTGAAACTGCCAAAATGTATTTTAGTCCTTAAAATACGTCAAGCAGTCTCCCTATACTCTGCTGGTTATAAATTGTATTTCATCTATTCTGAGGAACTTTGTAGTTTCTCCTAAATTCAGGTGCTTTGATTGGTGTGCAACAGGTTTTCTCTTGCACATATCTTAAGAGCTAATTTCACTTAAGTTACTAGATTATTGTTCTTTTTTATCTTTTTTTTAACAGAACCTTTATCTTTTAGGGTTCTGTCAAATCTGGTTGTTCTTCACAAGAAAATGTGCAATTATGGTAATTCTTCTAGTAACAATATTTACTTTACAAATGTCACATTTATGCTTTTTCTGCTTTGTTTCCATGCCCTTCTGCATACCCAATAACTTTCAGTTTCAATACAAGATATACTGTAATTTTTTTTCAACCACATTTATTTATTTATTTTTTAATTTTTTAATATTTATTTTTTTTAATTTTCGGCGGACACAACATCTTTGTATATGGTGCTGAGGATCGAACCCGGGCCGCACGCATGCCAGGCGAGCACACTACCACTTGAGCCACATCCCCAGCCCCTCAACCACATTTAAAATAGCAATTAAACCTAACATGGACAGTCAAAAAGTTTGTTCATGTGCCAGCAATAAAATCCACATCATGATTGCCATCTGGTCAAAAGTAATTGTAAGATGCCAAAATAGAAAGATGAATTTCCATCAGGGATTTTAAAATGCAAGAGAAGGAAATTGTGACTTAGAATCTTTGAAACGTAGTATATTATGTTCCATTAAAATGAACCTTCATTTCAAGTACCTATGGGAAGCTGATCATATGTTAAGGCTACAAAAAACCTGAACAAATTTCACATTTTCTAATGCAGTCAAACTAGGCTTACAAGCAATTTCACAATATTGGCCCTTCTACCCAAACCTGCAAAGAGAATAAATCTTCCTGTATAACTCTTGGCTCAAGGGAAGTATGCTCAAATACTAGGCAACCTTAATGTGTAACAGGACAGCAGTACACACAAAATTTATGGAGATATTAAAATTTCAATCCAAATTTTTAATTTAATCACTGAGATTCTTGAATTTTTCAGGAGAAGAGAATTGTTATTTTTGTTTGTTTGTTTTGTCAAATAATAAATGAATATTTTATTTTTGGAACAGGGTCTTGATAAATTGCCCAGGCTGGCCTGAACTTGTAATCCTCCTACCTAAGTCACCCAAGCAAGGAGCTGGGATTATAGGCATGCAACACTATGTCCAGCAATGAATATTTTAATTTTAAGGATTAACAATGAGAAAAATAAATAGCATGTATAATTTCTAAATCATAGAAGGCAAAGGAGCCATAATAAATTATAAGGGTAAAACTGGGCACTTTACCAGCTTTACCCTGGTGCATGCTTGTACTTCTAGCAACTAGGGAGGTAAAGCAGGAGGATATCCATTGGAGGCCAATCTCAGCAATTTAGGGAGACCCTATCTCAAAATAAAATTAAAAAAAAAAAAGAAGAAAGAAAGAAAAATAAAAGAAAGTATAGAAATATAGGAAAGAGTTTTCAGATTAAAATTTTAATAACTGCAAATGTTATTTACAAGAGGCACATTTAAAACCTGACATACAGAACTTGAAAATAAAATGACAGAAATCCCTAATCTGAATTCTAAATACAGAATGAATTTGGTGCTGCTACATTAATATCACACAAATTAGACTTTAAGGGAACATCATTAGCAGGGATAAAGAGAGTCATGAATCATAAAAGTACTCATTCATCAAGAAGATCTAAAAATTCCAAACCTGCCTACTTCTAACAAAATATGAGTGAAATTTGACAGAATGACAAAGAGAAATTAATAAATTTATGAACATTTGGGGGGATTTTTACATAGCTCATTCAATAATTAATAGATGAAGTAGACAAAAATGACTGAGGTTTAAATTATGTCATTAGCTTCGCCGTTGGGTGAAGCGCAGAGGGAAGTGGAAGGCCGCCCAGGTGGGGCCGGGTGGACCTAGAGGGGTGCGTTTTGGGGACTGAAACTAGGTGCGTCTGGCTTTGGATTGTTGTAGGAAGGAGAGCGTCCGACCCGTTTGAGACAATGTCTTGCTAAATTCTTGAGGCTGGACTCCAACTTGCAGCTCTCCTGCCTTGGCCTCTGAAGTCACTGGGATTGCAGAAAGGTGGATACCACAATGCTGAATTTGCGGAACCTGTTTGAGCAGCTTGTGCGCCGGGTGGAGATTCTCAGTGAAGGAAATGAACTCCAATTCATCCAGTTGGCAAAGGACTTTGAGGATTTCCGGAAGAAATGGCAGAGAACAGACCATGAGCTGGGGAAATACAAGGATCTTTTGATGAAAGCAGAAACTGAGCGTAGTGCTCGATGTTAAGCTAAAGCATGCACGAAATCAAGTGGATGTAGAGATTAAACGGAGACAGCGAGCTGAGGCTGACTGTCAAAACCTGGAACGACAGATTCAGCTGATTTGAGAGATGCTCATGTGTGACACATCTGGAAGCATTCAACTAAGCGAGGAGCAAAAATCAGCTTTGGCTTTTCTCAACAGAGGCCAACCATCCAGTGGCAATGCTGGGAACAAAAGGCTGTCAACCATTGATGAATCTGGTTCAATTTTATCAGATATCAGCTTTGATAAGACTGATGAATCACTGGATTGGGATTCTTCTTTGGTGAAGAATTTCAAATTGAACAAGAGAGAAAAGAGGCGCTCCAATAGCCGACAGTTTGTTGATGGACTCCCTGGTCCTATAAAGAAAACTCGTTCCATTGGCTCCACAGTAGACCAGGGAAATGAATCCATAGTTGCAAAGACTACAGTAACTGTTCCCAATGATGGTGGGCCCATTGAAGCTGTGTCCACTATTGAAACTGTGCCATATTTGACAAGGAGCCGAAGGAAAACAGGTACTTTACAACCTTGGAACAGTGACTCCACCCTGAGCAGTAGACCTCTGGAGCCAAGAACCCAGAATGAGAGTTCAGGCATACCACAGAGTAACGGAGGGATGCGCCTTCATGACTTTGTCTCTAAGACGGTTATTAAACCTGAATCCTGTGTTCCGTGTGGGAAACGGATAAAATTTGGCAAGCTGTCTCTGAAGTGTCGAGATTGTCGAGTGGTTTCTCATCCAGAATGTCGGGACCGCTGTCCCCTTCCCTGCATTCCTACTCTGATAGGAACACCTGTCAAGATTGGAGAGGGAATGCTGGCTGATTTTGTGTCCCAAACTTCTCCAATGATTCCCTCTATTGTTGTCCACTGTGTAAATGAAATTGAGCAGAGAGGGCTAACTGAGACCGGCTTGCATAGGATCTCAGGCTGTGATCGGACAGTAAAAGAGCTGAAAGAGAAATTCCTCAGAGTGAAAACTGTACCCTTTCTCAGCAAAGTGGATGATATCCATGCCATCTGTATCCTTCTAAAAGACTTCCTTCGAAACCTCAAAGAACCCCTTCTAACCTTTAGGCTAAACAAAGCCTTTATGGAAGCAGCAGAAATCACAGATGAAGATAACAGCATAGCTGCCATGTACCAGGCTGTTGGTGAACTACCCCAGGCCAACAGGGACACATTAGCCTTCCTCATGATTCACTTGCAGAGAGTGGCTCAGAGTCCAAACACTAAAATGGATGTTACCAATCTGGCTAAAGTCTTTGGTCCTACAATTGTTGCCCATGCTGTGCCCAATCCAGACCCAGTGACAATGTTACAGGACATCAAGCGTCAACCCAAGGTGGTAGAACACCTTCTTTCACTGCCCCTGGAATACTGGAGTCAGTTCATGATGATGGAGCAAGAGAACATTGATCCCCTGCATGTTATTGAAAACTCAAATGCCTTTTCAACACCACAGATACCAGATATTAAAGTGAGCTTACTGGGGCCCGTGACTACTCCTGAGCACCAGCTTCTCAAGACTCCTTCATCCAGCTCCCTATCCCAAAGAGTCCACTCTACCCTCACCAAGAATACTCCCAGATTTGGGAGCAAAAGCAAGTCTGCCACCAACCTAGGACGACAAGGCAACTTTTTTGCTTCTCCAATGCTCAAGTGAAGTCACGTCTGCCTGTTACTTCCCAGCATTTACCAACTGCAGGAAAGGGCACACCTGTACTCTCTGCTCTGCAGCCTCCTGTACTACTTTTAGCATTCTCCAGGCTTTTAATCAAGTTTAATTGTGCATGAGGGTTTTATTAAAACAATATATATATATCTCCCTCTTCTCCTCCTCCAGTAACATTTTATCAGCCCCTTGTGCTGGTTGTTGTTGGGAACTTTCAGATGGGAGATCCCTATAGGGGTTGAAGGAGAAATATGGAATTGTGGTTCTTTTGGGGTCAGGAGGCATCCCTTTGCCTTGAAGCCAAATGCTGCTCCTGGAATGACTTTTCTCTAGTGTTATTTAACTCATCTCCATGAGACAATGACAGAAACCCTGCCTCTTTGGTATGGGTAGGAAGTGACTGGACAGGGTAAAGAAAAGATTAGTCAGAGAATTTAGGATGGTTCCTTCTCAGAACCTGCAATTTCCCTTTTCCCATTATTAATTAAACTATAGCATGGAACCTTCATAAATAGGATAGGTTGAGGACAGAACTAGTCATGGGAGTATGCATAGCTTTAATTTGGATTGATTAGTTCTTAAGGTCTTGAGAAGTGACACAACCTTGTGAATGTGATACTTCTTTTTATCTCTGATGGGCGACTTGCTGGACTTTGGGTTTTATTGGGGTCATAGCCAGTTTGTTGTTTTAAAGTTGAATTCACTCTGATGCCTCACCCTCCCACCTTTTGTCCAGTAGATTCCTATTTCTAAAGGTTAGTTTGCTGTTTGTCATCCCAGCTAACAAATAAGATGAGGCTGTAGGGAAGACTGTCAATATTTCATGTGGCAAGAAAAACCACAGTCATTTTTGTCTTTGCACTTTGGATGCTAAAATTTTTCCCATGGAATATAGCCACATCTAAATAAATGTGAGCTTTTACTTCTATTAAAAAAATTATGTCATTAACAAGTGAGATTAAATGGCCATGTATAGAACACTGCACCATTCAGAGAGCTCACATTCTTTCAAAGCACATGGAACTGAAAAACCAGCCTCTATCTCAGAGCAAAGCCTGTCCAAGGAAGGGACATGACCTTTGTCCTTGGAAAGACCCACAGAGCACTCCTAGGCACATTCCTACCCTGCTAAGTGGTTTATCTACAAATAACCTGCTGCGACAGGTGTCCCTGACTCAGTCAGGCTAGGTGGAGACCCATAGTAACCCCCTAGCAGCCACCAATCAGCATGAGACAGGGAAATACCTGGGATGCCAGTTGACCCTCCTAGTAGTTTATGGTGGTTGATAACATGTTGGGAAACCATGTAGTTCAGCATGAACACCCCTCTTGGCTTAAACCAATCAGTTCAAATGAATCCCCCTCTTGTAGTAACCAATCACCCCTACCCAACTTGTTCCCACCAGTGAATGTGCTAATCATGTTTTAGAGTTGTTATTTGATTTTCCCGCGGTGTGTGATGATTTGCTAAGAGATGCTATGATGTATGTGGGGGTCCCTGCCTTCTCCAAAGAATGTATAAAACTGCTGCAAACACTGGGCTTGGGGCCTCTCAGCATCACCAGTTGCTGTGTGTGCGCATGGAGGACCGAGCTAGCTCGCAATAAACACCTCTTTGCTGTTTACATCGATCTTGGTCTCTGGTGGTCTTTTGGGGGCCCTGAATTCAAGCATAACAGAACATTTACAGAATTGACCCACCAGCACATCTTAACAAAGTTCAATTTCAAGTTGGATGACATGACACACACCTGTAATCCCAGCTTCACATGAGGCTGAGGCCAGAAGTCACCAAATTTGAGGCCAGCCTCAGGCAACTTGGGGAGATGCTGTCTCAAAACAAAAAATAAGTACTTGGAATACAGCTCAATGGTACAGTACCCCTGGGTTCAATCCCCAGTACCAAGAAAGGAAAGAAAAAAATATATTATGTTTGAAATATATATGTATATATTTTTTATTAGAAAATAATAAATTGGGTAGCCAATTTTCATATATTTTTGGAATATTTAAAATGTCTTTTAAATCAGACAATGAATAAAAGAATAAAAATGTAAATTCGTCTTTATTTTGAACTTTACAACAATGAGAGCCCCAACACTTGTCAGATGCAATTGAGACAGGATTCTAGAACCAATAGCCTTAGTATGTATATGTAAAAAAATAAGAAATACTAACCACAAATGAACTAAATATCCGTATAAGAAGTTACAGTAAGAAAAATAGTAAAATGCTTAAAATAACAATACAAATTAATGAACTAGAAAACAAAGACACCATAGAGAGTATAAACAAATCAACGGAGAAATCAAGAGAATACTTAAATACTGAGGATAATTGCAAAACACTGCAGACTGGCATTTCATTCATTAGTCAGATGTCAGCTTAGACAGCTGACTATTGGCTCTTCTCCTTTGTAAGGAAAATAAAATATGAGAGAGGTGTCACATTGGAGAACTGCCAAATGGAAAGGGGCCCTGGGCTGTGTATCCTCAGCCTCAAGCAAGTCACAGATACCCAGTGAATTCAGGGAATGTTTATTAGTCTTAAGAGTTGTTATGAATTTTGGATAAGATTCAAGACTACACAGTGAACTAGAGTCTTGCAGACTGGGAAACATAGAGACAAGAATATCCAAGAAACATGAGCAGATGCAAATTTCCAAAACATACTTCAGGATGGGGCATATCTCTGCTGACTGTCACTGTATAGATGATCTAGACTAGACTAAACTCCAGGTCATAAAGATATAATGCAATTTCCAAACATCTGACTTGAAACTAGAAATTTAATATATCAAAGCAGTAAATGCTTCACAGCTGTTCTTGTCATCCAAAAGTTTTGTGCAGAAATATCAGGCCCTGGAAAACTCTCACATATTCACTTGGGACTTATCACTAAAAACTTCAGGTAGTTGGATGGCCAGTAAGCTCTGAAAGTTCCTCCTTTACTAACTGGAAATACAGAAACAACTTCAATTCTTGTTCTATGCTCTACCTAAGATCAGGCCTCTTTTTCTCTATTTTAAGCACAACCTAGTTGAAAATACTTTAAGTTCAGCTCATCTGCAGGATTGTGTGTGTGTGTGTGTGTGTGTGATGTGTGTTAGGGATCCAACCCAGGGCCTCACACATGCTAGGTAAGTGCTCTACCACTGAGCAGCATCCTCAACCTTCTGCAGAATTTTTTAGCATTTCATTCAGAAGATAGAATGGCATTTTGTGTCATAATGTTAATTACCCTATTCTGAATGAGGTAACTTTAGGGGACCATCTGTTCAGAGAATAACTGGATGAACACTTCAGAGAAAATATATGAAAAGGTTAATTCATGTGGTAAGCAAAACAACAATGAGACATTCAAAATAATATTTGGTTAATTTGAAGGTCACTTCAGATACTTCTTTCACAACAGCATCTGTATAAAATTATGTGATGTTTGTGTATCAGTCCCTGTAATTTGCAAAGCTGTAGTGTTGCCAACAAATTGGTCAACTCTGGTTTATTTGTCAATGACAATGAATTTGACCTTGAGATAAAAATCTAGATGGATTAACAATATCAAAAAATTAAACTGTTCATCATTTTTCTAAATTATGGCAAAAAAAAATTTAACACTAAGGTTCATGAGATCCCACCTTTTGGACTTCCCACCTGCATTCAATCACTGCAGGAAAAGGGGAATGAAGGATAGGAATGTGGGAAAGCTGAAAGAAGAGCTTAGCTATAAAAAAGGGAAGACCTCCCTCTTCCACGGATTCCACCTTTCAGGTTCCCTTCTTCCTCAAGGAGGAAATCTTTCTGCTGTCCTTTAATAAAGCCTTCCACTTTCCACTCTACACTTGCCTAGGCGTGCTTCTCTGGTGTTATACTTCAGCATTCGGGGAAGCAAGGACTTGTCACTGGTAAAACAGTGGTAACAATAGCACAGTGGATATGAATAGATGCAAAGCACATCAACAAAGTCCTTTGACATCTTCAATATTTTTTAGAATGTAAAGAACTTCAATGACCAAAAAAGTTTGAAAAGCTCCATTTATTAGAGTAATTTATCTGAACTCAGCACAGAAGTCTTAATATATCAACATAATTTTTGTTGGAAATGATTTAGAAATGAGCTTCAAACAGTGTTTTGTTTTGATCAGGGAAGAAACAGACCAGGATAGAGTGGGTGCTCATTCTGTCCAGGTGGTCAATTAGTTATGCCAGTGAACAGGCTGTGTCACCAAGAATAAAAAGAACATGAGGAGTCTTTACTCTGACCCAGACTGAGAAGCACTAAGCTTTCTTTCATCATGTTTTTCATGGCTACAGTTGTTGGCCTAGTGTCTCATCTATGAAATGTTATGTATAGGAAATTGCAATGTGCCAAAATGACATTAAGATTAATTAGCCACTGGAGTGCAAAAATTGAGGCTTGATGTTCCCACCAATTGTATCAATATAAAGGAGAATCAGAATGTGGGTAGATTTTGGTTTCCTTCCTTCCTTCCTTCCATCTTTCCTTCCTTTCTTTTTTTGGGGGGGTGGTTCTGGGGATTGAACTCAGGGGCACTTGACCACTGAGCCACATCCCCAGCCCTATTTTGTATTTTATTTATAGAGATAGGGTCTCACTGAGTTGTTTAGCGCCTCCCAGTTGCTGAGGCTGGCTTTAAATTCAGGATTCTTCTGTCTCAGCCCCCTGAGACGCTGGGATTACAGGTGTGCACCACTGAGCCTGACTTCCTTCTTTCTTTTTTCTTTTCTTTTCTTTTTTTTTGTGCTGGGGATTGAACCCAAGGTTTTATGCATGTGAGGCAGGCCCTCTACCAACTGAGCTATATCCCCAGCCCCAGCCCCCTTCTTTCTTTTTTACAATATTGTTTAGGGAGATGATAGCAGATGTGTATACTCCACTAGACATATGCATTTTTAACATTTTCATCATGTAAATTTTCAAAAGTATACATAAAAAATAGAGCATGCAGAATATTAAACTTTATGCTTTCATCAACAGCTTTGACAATTACTAACATTTTACCAGTATTGTTGTTTTTATTTTTGGTTTTTTGAGACAAGGTCTAACTAAATTGCACAGGCTCACCACAGCCTCGCAGGAACTCTTATCTCAGCCTTCTGAGTAGCTGGGATTACAA